GAAAACGTGGTTGTTCCAGTGTGCCTTTCCAGAATAAGGAAACTCCTAGCACTATGTCCCAATGCACTTTATCAGAGATTCAGGATATTTGCATACCCATCCCCCTCCAAACACCCCACCTTGTCATGCCCAGCACTTTTTAATTTTAATTGTTACAATTGGCCCAGCCATTGTTTTTAATTGTGTCATTGGGTGTTGTTAATTGTTATTGCTTTGTTTTTTGAGTTATTGTGTTATTGTTGCTGCTGCTGTTTTATTGTTGTATTTGGGCTTGGCCTTTTGTAAGCTGCACCGAGTCCTTCGGGAGATGGTAGCATGATACAAATAAAGGTTTATTTATTTATTTATTTATTTATTTATTTATTTATTTATTATAGCTGCCCCCTTTTTTGTACAGCTACTTCCAGAATCCTTGACCATTAACAATACTGTAAAGCGTTTGTGAAAGTTGCAGTAAATTTCCATATGTGTTGTGGCTCAGCTGGAACCTCAGGAAGAAGATGATGGGTTTCAGATTCCTGAACATGTTCCTGTTGTTGATACAGACAATGTTGATACTGAAGACGAGGAGTTTCAGTTTCCCATGGCAAGGGATGTTTTGGAAGATGTTTCTGATCTTAGTGAAACTTCCCAGGTGCAGATGGAGGAGGTGAGCTCTCAGCCTGCCAATTTTCAGGCTGCTGATTCTAATGAGCTATCCGACCTTGAAGGCTCTGCAGACTTAGATAGGGAGAATCACTTGCAATTCAGCGTTCGCCGCAGTGTGAGGCTTGCTAACAAGAGAAAGGTTAGAGGTCAAAGGAATGCATTCATGCTGGGAAAGTATATCAAACGAGCTGTTTGAAGTCAGTTCTTTGTCAGTGCAAACACCTTGGTAACTTCTCTGGATTGCCTTAGCTTTTGGGCAATGCTTTTGACTTCTTGGGACTTTGTCTTTTTCTTGGCTCCTTGGGACTCTGTCACACCTCCATGGAATCTTGTTTGATCAATGCCTTTGGATTATGCTTCATGTTGGTTGCCATTGAACTTTGGAAACATTGCCTTTGCATTTAAGACTCTGCTTTTGCCATTGAACGTTTGAAACCTTACTTTTCTATTAAAGACTTTGTTTTTCTTCAATAAACTACAAAACCTTCAGTCTTGGTGTGGTGTGGTGTTCTTAGCAAGGTGAATCTATCCTGAGTTGTGACAATATGGTTACAGATTCCATTCCTGTTCTGCCAAGCTCCTGTTCTACCATGTCACCCATAACTCCTTGTCTATAATTTAAAAAACTATCTTTAAGTAACAGTCAGATGTGCCTCCTATGAGTCTGACGTTCTCCAGGAAACTCTACTGTCTGCTGGCAGGATTCACTCTGATATCACACCTACCCTGATTTTAATGAGTTCCTTGTTTTTCAAAGTTCTTTTATCCCACTACCATCCACATACTAATAATACTTGCAAGGCAGCTGTTTCATAATGTTGATTAGGCCCTTTCAGTGGTTTTAAAATTAAAAAATGTCAGCACATCAAAATATGATTTTTGTAGGGAAATGGCATAAATGCTTCAAGATTTGCTTTGTTTTTGCAGTAACATATCTGATTGTCTCTTGATATTAACATGAGAGTCAGTGATAAGGAGCAATGTAATAAAAAAAATTGAGCCTAGTATCCAAGGTTTCCTGAAGACTGCAATAAGATATTCATTCAAATGAAATTCTTTGGAAAGAGGAGGAAGGGAATGCCTGTGAGGGTCTCCTGTGAAACGCACTTTAATAAATTGGAGAGATTACTTCTCTAGCCAAAACAAAAAGAAAGTCAAATGCATTAAAGTGAACATAAATGCTGTCACAAAATAAATTCAGGAACAGACAATTCAATAATCTTTTTAGTTTAAAATCAATTTTACAGCCGAGTCAGGAGAGGTATGTTCTGCTTTCATTTAAAGTTTGTGTTTTGCCAGCGTTTGTCATAAATCCTCTTAAGTGATTGGCACCATGAGCTCCTAATGTTCTGTACTTTGTATTCTCTTTGGATCCAGATGTGGAGTTGTCATGTTCTAAAGCATTTAGGAAGATAGGAGACTAATTTAGGTACCAAAACTGATCTGTTAGATGTTCTTCAGCCACCTTAATATTCTGTGTGCGTGCTGAGTAATTGTCCTGTTATACAGAGGTATTGCAGCTTCGTGCCAAGCTGTACAAAATTCAGGGAACTATGACCAAACATCCCAGTATATTATTATTTCTGTAAAATATATATATATATAAGCCCTTTTTGTCCAGTTTGGGTGCCAACAGAAAAGATTAAATATTCTGGATGTTAAAGTTTTGCCAGAGCAAATTGAGGTTCACACAGTTCAATATGGAGTGGATGGAAAGATTAAGTGATTCAGTCACGTATTTCTAACACAAATACATAGCTTACTTTTTTAGTAGCTGAGCCATGAATCAGAAATTCTTCCTACCATTCATTGCCCTGTGAATTTGAACAGCCTCAATCGTACATCTGAAATACGGGGCTAATATTACTGATCTGCCTCATCAAGCTGTTAAAAAGAACACTGACAAATGTGTCTAAAGCACTTCTGAGCATAGTAAGACAATATAAAACTGCCACATACTGTTATTAATTGACTCACACATGTTCTTCGTTGGCACTACATATGAACTTCTTTTTTATTGTGCACTTAGTCTTCATTCTTGCAGTGTCCAAAGACCTCTTGAAGCTTCTAAATGCATTTGCAAATGTGTGGGTTTATCCTATTTAAGCAATTTTCTTTGACAGGCCCTAGTGACCATTAGAGTCTATGACACAGTATTGCATTTATAGCCATTATATTGTTGTGTTCTAAACCATAGAGGCAGAAGTGTGGTCAGACCATTTTAGTGTCTGTCTCTTTAGAAATATCCCAACTTGAAAGCATACATTTTACCTATGAAACAAATAAGATATTTGAATGCATTGAAATCTTGATGAGTTAAGAGCTTAGGCCATTGGTTTCCAAGATCTTATGGAAGTCTCATATTAGGGACCTCATCACATTGAGGTCCTGAAGCCAGGGAACAGTGGGGGCATTCGTTGGGCAGTGAGGCAAATCTAGAGGGCAGCATGGTAACCCGCCACCCCATGTCCCATGTTGCCTCCTTCTCTGTCCCATTGGGGGGGGGGGAAGCATTGCCATCCAGCTTCCCCCCCACACTCGCCCCGTTCTACCATATGAAAACGCTGGAAGCCTCCCATGTTCTCAGGGCTGTGTTGTAGGATGCTTTTAATATGGAGCCAGAACAGAGCCCAACCAGAGGTAGCCCTGTGTCATGGGTTCCATCTGACTCCATCCTGGCTCCGTGTTGAAATTATCCTACAACAGAGCCCAGACCTTGTGTGATGAGGTTGTAGGTTGTGTCTTAGTCACTAATATATAGCATCTATGGCAGGGGTCCTCAAACTATGGTCCGAGGGACAAATACGGCCCTCCAAGGTCATTTACCCGGCCCTCGCTCAGGGTCAACCTGTCGGAAATGACTTGAAAGCACACAACAACAACAACAACAACAACAACAATCCTATCTCATCAGCCAAAAGCAGGCCCACACTTCCCATTGAAATACTAATAATTTAATATTTGTTGAAATTGTTCTTCATTTTAATTATTGTATTGTTTTTAAGTGTCTTTTGCACTACAAATAAGATATGTGCAGTGTGCATAGGAATTCATTCATTTTTTTTCAAATTATAATCCAGCCCTCCAACAGTTTGAGGGACTGTGACCTGGCCCTCTGTTTAAAAAGTTTGAGGATCCCTGATCTATGGTATGACAGAGCTCAAGAAACACTTCACCGTACTTTAGGGGTTAATTATTTTCAATGAATTGTATTTCAATGTATTGTCGAAGGCTTTCATGGCTGAAATCACTGGGTTGTTGTAGGTTTTTTCGGGCTATATGGCCATGTTCTAGAGGCATTCCCTCCTGACGTTTTGTCTGCATTTATGGCAAGCATTCTCAGAGGTTGTGAGTCCTCACAACCTCTGAAGATGCTTGCCATAGATGAAGGTGAAATGTCAGGAGAGAATGCTTCTACAACATGGCCATATAGCCCAAAAAACCTACAAGAACCCAGTATATAGTGTGACTTCGCTTAATGTGGGGGGGGGGGATATGAGATCATTAAAACATTGTATTGTGTTATGCTTCATATTCTGAATGAAAAGTAGTTAAAAGTACTATTTTGGCTACTTTTGAAAAACAAAGATAAAATATTCCTGATCAAAAAGTGTAACAATAATGGTAGCTAAATTCTTGGGTTATAGTTAACATGCAACTTTAACTAGCAAGTTTTAAAAGTAGCTGTTTAAACTCTGGTGAAATGTTGTTTCTGTAGAGCAGCGTTTCTCAACCTGGAGGTCGGGACCCCCGGGAGGGTCGCGAGAGGGTTTCAGAGTGGTCACCAAAGACCATCAGAAAACATATCTGTCTCATGATCTTAGGAACCCCTTTGGCAGAGAAGCCTGAAGATCTCTCTGCCTGTCCTTCTCTTCCTTTTTGGAAACAGATGGCAAATCCTGACACCAAGACCCCTTCTCTGCTGTGAATGGCTGGCCTCTCAGTCAAGGGAAGGGCTGAGACTCCAATCAGGGGGAGGGGACAGCAGGCATGCTTGGCGTATGGCAGCGTGGTGCACATGTGCGGGTGAGGGAGAGCATGTGAGACTGGAAGGAGGCGGTGTGGGGGGGGGGGAGTTGTGTGTGAAGTTTGACCCAATTCTATCATTGGTGGGGTTCAAAATGCTCTTTGATTGTATGTGAACTATACATCCCAGCAATGACAACTCCCAAAAGTCAAGGTCTATTTTCCCAAACTCCACCAGTGTTCACATGTGGATATATTGAGTATTCATGCCATGTTTGCTCCAGATCCAACATTGTTTGAGTCCACAGTGCTTACCAAACCCTTCCAGTATTTTCTGTTAGTCACTAGAGTTTTGTGTGTCAAATTTGGTTCAATTCCATAGTTGATGGAGTTCAGAATGCTCTTTTATTGTAGGTGAACTACAAATTCCAGCAATTACAACTCCCAAATGACAAAATAAATCCCCCCCCCCCCAGCTTCACCAGTATTCAAATTTGGGCATATCAGGTATTTGTGGCAAATTTGGTCCAGTGAATGAAAATACATCATATCAGATATCTACATTACAATTCATAACTGTAGCAAAATTACAGTTATGATGTAGCAACAAAAATAATTTTATGGTTGGGGGTCACCACAACATAAGTGTGGTGAAGTGTGAATTTTAATCTACAGTCATGTATAATTATAGGTAGATGTTTAAAGGGGTAAATATTTAAAATAGCATAACTGGGGGGATGGTAGTCAGCTCAGCTCACTCTGAGATGGGTTGCCATGGAAAAAGGGGAGGAGCCAACTGCCACTTGGCAAGAGCAGGTATTTTAAATAGGCAGTCTGTGGTCAGAGAACCACAGGGAAAACTGGTTCTACTGTGTTGAGAATCAGGAAGGTTTAGGCTTTTAGCCTGTGTGGTTTAGATAGGTCAAGTTGACTTATTTAGATTAATAGTTAGGGTTTGAGCATAAAGGGGAAGAGAACTCCAGTAAGAACCTTTACTGTAACAGAGATAACAGAGGGAAAGAGTAGGCTAGTACCTGGAGTGATTTGTTAAGGAAAGAAACACATTTTGAAGGAAATAAGTTAAAAACCTGTCTAGTGGAAAGAACAGCCCTCTTAAGAGTTGTTTTATGAAAGGTTATAAATGTAACCACTAAAGGAATGTGCCTCTAGGAGTTAAGAAACATTGAAACCATTAAGCTTCTATACTTCAATAAACTTATTACAGTTTCTCTTAAATCCAGGCCTCTGTTTCATATGCTTTCGAATCAAGCCGCGCTACACATCGAAGGAAGACAAACAAAATATTACAGGCTAGTGGCTGTGTTATCGAAGTTGTAGATCCATTACAAATTGTAGGAGACCCTGACAAATCAGTAACGTCCCTACAACCAGTGGCGTCCTTACAATAAGTAACTGTATTAAGGGGTTTCCATTTTAATTATTGTATTGTTTTTAAGTGTTTTTGCACTATAAATAAGATATGTGCAGTGTGCATAGGAATTCAAATTATGGTTTTTTTCTCCTAATTATCATCTGGCTCTTCAACAGTTTGAGGGAGTATGACTTGGCCCTCTGTTTAAAAAGTTATACCTAGCTAATTTGGGCCAAAGTCTTGGTCCATATCTCCAGTGAAGCTTTTCCACAATTCATCAGAGAACTGAGCTGTTGCTATTCTTTATCTTTGGCAAAATATTTCAATCTCATGGAATTAAGAATTGTAGGAAAAGATGCCTGTGAATATGGGCTGCCCAGTTGTCTGTCCATAGCATGGAGTGTCTTCACTTCTGCAGTCTTGTTTCAGTTCTTTCAGGCATTGCTGTTCTAGCCCCTTTGTGACTTTCTAGAAGGATTTGGCTCATCTGAGATAATTAACAGTTTGTTCGATGGAAAAGTTTCTGCAGCAAATCATTAAAAGAGTGGCCAAGTCACATTTCAGTTGATTCCATGATGCTCCAGTTCTGATTGACTGGTGCTTTTCTTGAATATGTTTCGTGGGCTTGGAAGACAGGACGGCTGCGCTTCACGCTATGTATGGAACGCCTGAGAGAGCCCAGGCGTTTCCAGAGCCTGAGCTGTGGCTCGCTGGCATCTTCTGGATGGTAAGGCATGCACTCATGTGGCCCATGGAAAGACTGGTCCAGAGCCACCGGCTTGCACAGAGTGACAAAGATAAGGCAGGTGGCCAAGATGAGGAAAATGCAGATGAGAGCAATGATAATAGGCAAGGAATCCAGCTTCTCCCCAGTGGGTTCGGAACTCACTGGAACCAGCTCAGTAGTAGTAGCATTGAGAAATGCAAGCACGCTAGGAGTTGGAGAAGACTCATTTGCTGCATCTCTTGTGCTCATCTTTCCTGTAAGACATGAAAGGAATAAAGGTCAGGGAACTATAGTCACTGACAGATGTGGAAGAAGAACCAGCAGGAATTTATGTAGGAGCCCTGATAATATAGAATTATTCAATAAAGCACTTTTCTCTTCCTAGTCTGGAATGATTCTCAACTTATTATTTATTTGTTTGTTTGTTTACCATATTTATATACCGCCCCTCTCAGCCCAAAGGTGACTCTAGGCAGTTTATAGTCAGCAGTCAATGCTCCCAACAACATAAAATACAGTTAAAAACATTACATATAATATAAACCATATAAAAGCAATCTATATAAATAAAAATGTAATGTTTGTTTGTGGGATTAACAGAACTCAAAAACCACTGGATGAATTGACACCAAATTTGGACAAAAGACACCTAACAACCCAATGTATGTCCTTCACTCAAAAAAATTGATTTTATCATTTGGGAGTTGTAGTTGCTGGGATTTATAGTTCACCTACAATCAAAGAACATTCTGGCCCCCACCAACGATGGAATTGAACCAAACTTGGCACACAGTTCTCCCATACCAACAGAAAATACTGGAAGGGTTTGGTGGGCAGTGTCCTTTGGTTTTGGAGTTGTAGTTCACCTACATCCAGAGATCACTATGGACTCAAACAATGATGGATCTGGACCAAACTCTACATGAATACTCAATATGCCCAAATGTGAACACTGGTGGAGTTTGTGGAAAATAGAATCTTGACATTTTGGAGTTGTAATTGCTGGGATTTATAGTTCACCTACAATCACAGAGCATTCTGAACCCCACCAACAATAGAATTGGGCCAAACCTTTCACACAGAACCCCCATGTGGGCCACAGCAACGTGTGGCAGAGGACAGCTAGTAAAACAATAAAAACCATACTAGTGTACTTTTGGGGTGATATTCAACATGTGGGCATGACCCACATCAAAAACTTAAGAATCACAACTTACCCAATACTTTTTTTTGTATTTTGTAAATCTCAGAAGCCTCCCAAAATCAGTTTTATTTTCAGTGAAGGCAGCAAAACTAAGCCAAAAAGGCTACATTTTTACTTGAATTGCCTCTGGCCATTAGGAGAGGAAAAGCAGGGAGAAAGCAGAGTTCGCTGGGAAAGAAAGCACAGAACTCTGGGAAATGGAGTTGGGAAGGCGAGGAGCCCTGTGGCAGATGATGCAAAAGGCCCTGCTCTAAACTACATTTCCCGGAATTCTGCTCAGTATCAGAAAGCCCCAATCAGGGGAAGGGAGAGATTTGTCCTTCCATACCAGCAGCCAACCAGAGTTTCAATAAATTGTTGAATCTGCGAAAAGGAGGACTAACTGATAATTCTAGTAAGTAAATCAGTGCTGAGCTGGAAAGATATCACTAAATGAATGGCCTTTGGGGGTCCCTTCCAACTCAGTAGGGGAAGCATATTCATTCATTTAGAGGCTGGATGGCCATCCGTCAGGAGAGTTTTGATACTGCCCTTCTGCCTGGAGGAAGGGAGTTGGACTAGATGACCGTTAGGGTCCCCTCCAACTCTAGGATTCTATAAAAATGTAGAATTGGTTAATATTCGTTTCTGTTGGTTAATATATGAAAGACATTCAATGAGATAGCTGTGGAGGCTTAGCTGTGGTGGCTTAAAAAAAGATTTTGATAAAAACTTTTTTAAAATTCCCTAAAATCAGTATATGTGTGAATATTTCTGAAAGGTGGGGAAAACGATCCCCTGTTATCTTGTGTCATTATATAGAAGATAGCTCTTGTAGGGGGTTTTTTAATGTTGTAAAAAAAATTGAAATTTCCCCAAAAATCTGTGGATAGGTGAATTGTTCTGAAACTTGATGGACTAACAGTGTTAAATGTGTTCTACCATTGTAGCAAGTTTTACTGCAAAAGCCATAAAACTAGGTAGAAAGGAGCCCCTGAAGTTTCCCCATTTATAGTAATTATGCGCAATTACTAAAACAAAAAAGTGACAACATTTTGTTGCTCTCATTATAGTAACAAAATTTTCACTAACTATACTTTAGAAACAAAATGCTTGCGCCCATTAATTTTGTAACACTTTTTTATTGATGCGTATGCCTAGACTATTCAGTCCAGAAAATACACTGAGCTCTCACAATGGTCAAACAGATTGGAAAAATAAGTAATAAGCCTGGTAAAATGCAATGCCTCCTGCAGAATGAAGGGATTTTGAGTAAATGTTTAAATGTCCTCGGCTATCCCTGCTGTGGTTAAGATTATAAAAAGGACTTTCTAAATGTCAGGCCATTTGTGTGATTACTTTTTGGCCACTTGGGTTAGAGGAAGGGAGAAAAAGGTTGATCAAATAAGTAGGGAAAATCAAGCATTCAATGGCTATGCCTACCAGATTGTGTTGAATATTCATGTGTGTGTGAGAGAGCATATTAGTTTTTGAGTATAGCGTTTAAAAGAATTTCCTAAAAACCATAAAAGTTTCCCTATGCGTTCTGATTCCACATGTTCATATGAATTTATTTATTTATTTGCTATATTTATACTCCACCCTTCCCACCCTGAAGAGGACTCAGAGCAGTTTACAAATTCAGTATACGAATGTTTATACTGTTAATCTATCTCCATTAATGTAAAGAAATTGAGGCTAAGATGCATATAATGCATGTTCATTATTCATAGATAAGGATATCTATAATTAATATATCCCACTGGATACTGTTTCTTTGTATTTTTGTAGCAATCATTTAAAAAATAGAGTTCCAAGACCCTTCATCAGCTGGCTTTGTGCAGCAGTTGGAAACTGCAAGCACATGGACCAAGTGCAGAAAAAATATTTTGTAAGGTATGCTGAGTAAGGAGGGAATTAGACACAAAACACTTTTATCAACTATCTTTTAGCACCAAGGAGAACTTCCTCTTTACAACTTAGAGCAGTGGATCCCTACCTATAGTCCATGGACCACCAGTGGACTACAAGAACTAAAATATGTTCTGCAGCCTCACTGTTACTACACTGTTGCAACAAGAGTGAGTGGTCTCGCTACACCCTCTGATATTACCAAGGCTTATAAATATGGTTTTATCTGGGTGAGCAGTTGGTGACTACTGGGTGGCATATGCTCTGTATCAGAAACTAGAGCTGATGTGGTCTATCAAATGCAATTTTCTGAATCAGCACACCAAATAACCAAACCAAACCTAAAGTTGACCAAAAATTGATTCGTAACCCTATTGGCACTAATTTTGGAAAGTGGTCCCTGATCAAATGGTCCTTAATCAAAAACAGGTTGGGAGCCACTGACTTAGATTAACCAGGGCAGGATATCAGAAAATGTCCTTCTATTAAATGTAGATCTGTCCCTTTTTATCTGTCAAACTGCCACTAGTCTCAATTTGTAAAGAATAGTTCACAATAGTACAGTTGGAAATGACAATAACAATATTTTCAGGCCCACCAGATGATTTACACCAGGGGTCCTCAAACTTTTTAAACAGGTCACAGTTCCTCAAACTGTTGGAGGGCTGGATTATAATTTTTTTTAAAAAAAATATGAATTTCTATGCACACTGCACATATCTTATTTGTAGTGCAAAAAAACCCACTTTAAAACAATACAGTAATTAAAATGAAGAACAATTTTAACAAATATAAACTTATTAGTATTTCAATGGGAAGTGTGGACCTGATTTTGGCTGATGAGACAGAATTGTTGTTGTTGTTGTGTGCTTTCAAGTCCTTTCAGATTAACCCTCAGTGAGGGTTGGGTAAATCATAGAATCAAAGAGCTGGAAGAGACTCATGGGCCATCCAGTCCAACCCCCTACCAAGAAGCAGGAATATTGCATTCAAATCACCCTTGACAGATGGCCATCCAGCCTCTGTTTAAAAGCTTCCAAAGAAGGAGCCTCCACCACACTTTGGGGCAGAGAGTTCCACTGCTGAATGGCTCTCACAGTCAGGAAGTTCTTCCTCATGTTCAGATGGAATCTCCTCTCTTGTAGTTTGAAGCCATTGTTCCGCATCCTAGTCTCCAAGGAAGCAGAAAACAAGCTTGCTCCCTCCTCCCTGTGGCTTCCTCTCACATATTTATACATGGCTATCTCCTCTCAGCCTTCTCTTCTTCAGGCTAAACATGCCCAGTTTCTTAAGCCGCTCCTCATAGGACTTGTTCTCCAGACCCTTGATCATTTTAGCCGCCCTCCTCTGGACACATTCCAGCTTGTCAATATCTCTCTTGAATTGTGGTGCCCAAAATTGGACACAATATTCCAGGTGTGATCTAACCAAAGCGGAATAGAGGGGTAGCATTATTTCCCTAGATGCTACCCCTATATTCCGCTTTGGTTAGACCACACCTGGAATATTGTGTCCTTGGAGGGCCATATCTGGCCCCCGGACCTTAGTTTGAGGAGCCCTGATTTACACCATACTTTCTTCTTTGCAAAACAGATACCGTATTTATCATCTGAGAAAATAACTTCTACATTTCTGGATAAAAAGCATAGTGTACCTGATTCTTAGACACTTGATAATTTTTGTGAATATATTTACCTTTAAACAAACCTAAGTCTTCAAAAGCATTCATGGGACAAATAACTAGAGTGCTCTCCTAAGATTGTGTAATTAATTTTGAAAATTTACCATACTCTACTAAAATGCATTTTCTGCCCAAAACTATGCCATAGTTTTGCCTCCTTTATTTTGAAAATAGTATTGTAAATAATAAAATACAAGGAATTGTATGTTATGTCCATATAGACCAGGGATCCTCAAACTTAGGCTCGGGGCTGGATATGGCCCTCCAGGGTCATTTACCCAGCCCTCACTCAGGGTCAACCTAAGTCTGAAATGACTAGAAAGCACACAACAACAACAACAACAACAACAACAACAACAACAACCTTACCTCATCAGCCAAAAGCAGGTTCCTGTTGAAATACTAATGAGTTTATATCTGTTAAAATTATTCTTCATTTTAATTATTGTATTGTTTTAAAGTGTTTTTGCACTACAAATAAGTCATGTGCAGTGTGCATAGGAATTCATTCAATTTTTTTCCAAATTATAATCCGGCCCTCCAACAACTTGAGGGACTGTGGCCTGGCCTTCTGTTTAAAAAGTTTGAGGATCCCTGATATAGATAATAATAATCCTACATTACTTTTTGATAATTTTGAGACAGCAATTGCATTACTATGCTAACCAGGTATTTCCATGGTTTCAGGATCATATCCCTTTCTAAACAGTGCCTTATTTAAAATCCACAAAAGAGAGATACCTTGTTTATGGCACTTTCTTTAGTATGGCAGTGAGATATGGCACATTCCTATGGGCTTGAGGTTAAAAGTTCTTTTTCAATTCCGCAGGGATGCTGTATCAAGATGTCATTCCATTTGTTCATAGCACTCACAGATCACTTCTTAAGACCATTTGTCTTACTTAAATTCACATCAGCACTGAGCCCTTTTTATTCCTGTAGGGACTATTCCTCTACCCAATCCTCAAAATAGACTGCATTCTTTGTGCTCCCCCACCCACCCACTTTTCTTTCTTCTCATAATAATATTTTGCAATTTTCTAAAACAAAGAAAAAGCACTCTTACCAGAGACATGAAATATAATCTAAAAGAAAGCCACATTATGGATGTTTACTAGGAAGCAATACCATGTAACATTATTTGGATTCTTGGGTTCTAAATGTCATTTCCTAATTGGTTCTATCATAAAATCATGGGAAAGGTTTATTAAACATCCTGCAGCACATAGTTTTTCAATGAATTCCTCAGAGTCCCAACCAATTCCAACACAGTTTGTGTCAGCCACAAAAACAAAGTTTCTGAAGTATAACAACTACTTTCAAAGTACGTACTACACAATTATACAGGAAATTACACTTTCAAACAGTTTTTTTTTCAAATTTTGTTAAATAGAAATTCAGCATAACTGATACCTGATTCAGGTTAAAAAAAGCCTCAGTGTCTAATAATAATAATAATCATCATCATCATCATCATCATCTTTGGGTTGTTGTAGGTTTTTTTGGGCTATATGGCCATGGTCTAGAGGCATTTTTTTCCTGACGTTTCGCCTGCATCTATGGCAAGCATCCTCAGAGGTAGTGAGGTCTGTTGGAACTAGGAAAATGGGTTTATATATCTGTGGAATGACCAGTGTGGGACAAAGGACTTTTTGTCTGCTGGAGCTAGGTGTGAACAGACCTCACTACCTCTGAGGATGCTTGCCATAGATGCAGGCGAAACGTCAGGAAAAAATGCCTCTAGACCATGGTCATATAGCCCGAAAAAACCTACAACAACCCAGTGATTCCGGCCATGAAAGCCTTCGACAATACAATAATAATCTTTATTTAATACCCCGCCACCATCTCCCCAATGGAGATGGAGCCCCCGGAGGCACAGTTAAACCCCTGTGCCGGCAGGACTGAAGGGTTGCAGTTTCGAATCCAGGGAGAGGCAGATGAGCTCCCTCTATCAGCTCCAGCTCTTCATGCGGGGACATGAGAGAAGCCTCCCACAAGGATGGCAAAACATCAAAACATCCGGGCATCCTCTGGGCAACGTCCTTGCAGACGGCAAATTCTCTCACACCAGAAGCAACTTGCAGTTTCTCAAGTCGCTCCTGACACGACAAAAAAAAATATCTCCCCAATGGGGACTCGGGACGGCTTACATGAGGCCAAGCCCAACAGCATATTACAATAGAGTAAAACCAAAACACAATAACAACACAGTAAAATACATACAACATATTAGTACAAAGACGATAAAGTATCTTTAGTTCCTTGCAGGCCAATGACAATATTCTGGACTCAGCTAACGTTTCACAATACTTTCCCCATGTACAGAGAAAAACAAATTTTGAGAACCAACTGCTTTTTTTTCCCTAAAAAGAGAAGAGAACCTAATAGCAGATCCTTAATGTTAAAAGATGTACATATATGATCCAACAAACCCATGTCTTTTTGTAAAATATGAAGGTTTACAAGTGCATGTTGTAATGAATTTCTGGTGTGCAACTTCTACTGCATGCCAGTGATCAAATGAAAGAACATGGAAGAAAATGAAAGAACATGGAAAGAACACCATAGAATCATATAATCATAGACCTGTTTTTGATTAAGGACCATTTGACCAGGGACCACTTTCCAAAATTAGTGCCAAAAGGGTTATGAATCAGTTTTTGGTCAAGTTTAGATTTAGTTTGGATATTTGGTGTGCTGATTTAGAAAATTGCACTGGATATACCACATCAGCTCAAGCTTCTGATACAGAGCATATAGAATCATAGAATCAAAGAGTTGGAAGAGACCCCATGGGCCATCCAGTCCAACCCCCTGCCAAGAAGCCGGAATATTGCATTCAAAGCACCCCTGACAGATGGCCATCCAGCCTCTGTTTAAAAGCTTCCAAAGAAGGAGCCTCCACCACACTTCAGGGCAGAGAGTTCCTCTGCTGAACAGCTCTTACAGTCAGGAAGTTCTTCCTAATGTTCAGATGGAATCTCATTTCTTGTAGATGGAGGCCATTGTTCTGCGTCCTAGTCTCCAGGGCAGCAGAAAACAAGCTTGCTCCCTCCACCCAGAGGATGTATGTCTTGGAATTCTTGTTTGGACACATGAAAGATACACAAATATGCAACTGCAGTTATTTTCTCTCTATTTCCTTACAAAGTATACCTTAGAGCCCTTCCACACATCCATATAACCCATAATATCAAGGCAGAAAATCCCACAATATCTGCTTTGAACTGGGTTATCTGAGTCCACACTGCCATATAGTCCAGTTCAAAACAGGTAATGTGGGATTTTATTCAGCTGTGTGGAAGGGGCTTCAGAAATAGGTATAATAATTTTAAAAATTGTTTGCATTTTCAATTATATGAAGAAACATATGCTTTCTCCCTTTTTTCCTGCATAAACTGTATTTAAAGACTGTACTTCTAAAAGTTGTTCTAAAGTAGCCTTAACTTATCAACACTTAGGTTTCATTCCTGGTAGCATCCTACTTTAATGTTACTCTTTCACTGAAAAAGAAAAGTCCAATCCACACAGTTGAATAACCACATTAAATAGAGTATATTTAAATTCACCCACCTCTTTTCCTAGAAGGTGTCCCTGGGAGAAACTGCATCACCCAAGTTGCATGCAAGTTTCTCAGATCCTTGTTTATCTTTCTCAGATAATGTTACTTTCCTGTAGCATCTTGCCATGTGCCCCCCTCCTATATCCAGCATTTAAAGGGTATTTATCTCCAGGTTTTTGTTGTTGTTGCTTGAATCCTTTATTAGTTTCTGTTGTCTTCTAGCCCCTGACAACCTGGGGGAGGGGTGAAGGGATCACAGAGTGTGGGCGGAGGATGGGGGAAATCAATAGAAAGAAAGTAACCAAGTTGTATCAGGGAAATCAATTGAAGGGCTAATACATATCCAAAGTTACAGATGTTTGGATTGTTGTGCATCTCATTTTGTTTTGAAGAGCATCACAGAAATTGTTTTATAGATGGAAGCCTGGGATGGATTGTGAGTCTTTGCCTCCCACAATTGCTTTATCCCCTTCTGGAAGTTTAAATGGTACGGTCTAGTCACTGGAATCTATTCACTGAATGCCAGCCTTCAACTTACTCAGCAGTTGATTTGGGACCCGCCACTGGGGGGGGGGGGGAGTGGGGAGACAGAAGGAGGGCCTGTGTCTGTCTCCTCTGTCTCCTGTTTTTGCCTACTTTTGTCCAAGGCAATTTTCTTCCTGCCTTCTTTTATTACTTTACCCATATCCCTCTACTCTTATATAGAGAGTTGGGTAAGTGATGTTGAGATGGAAAGTGGAAAGAACATGGAAAGTAAGAAAGGGAGATATAATTTAAAAAAAAAAAGATCTACCCTTCATAGTAGTTCACAGTGACTGCAAATATTTATTTATTCATTTCATATCAAAAGCATTGCATAAATTGTTATAAAAACCGATAAAAATAGAAGGAGCGTAGATGGCTAAATAGCTTTTGACCAATAACGGGCAAAAGCAATGGCATTGTCTGTAGCCTCCAACAATTTTATTTATTTTTAAGTTCTTGTGGGTTTTTTTTGGGCTATATGGCCATGTTCTAGAGGCATTTCTCCTAACGTTTCGTCTGCATCTGTGGCAAGCATCCTCACCTCACCTCTGAGGATGCTTGCCATAGATGCAGGCGAAACGTCAGGAGAAATGCCTCTAGAACATGGCCATATAGCCCAAAAAAAACCCACAAGAACTTAGTGATTCCAGAGGGTCTGAGATTTATTTATTTTATTTATTTATTATTCGAACTTATATGCCGCCACTCCCCTGGGGCTCGGAGCGGCTTACAAGAATGGCTAAAATCTAACACAATTTAAAAACAGCAATATTAAAAATCAAAGGCCTGTTGAAACAGGTATGTCTTACATGCCCTGCGGAAAGCTGATAAGTCCCGCAAGGCACAGACTTCAGGTGGCAGAGTATTCCAGAGTGATGGTGCCACTGCTGTAAAGGCTCTGCGTCTGGTTGCTGTTAGACGCAAGGTCTTGACACTGGGAATTTCCAATAGATCTTGGTCCTCAGAATGAAGGGATCTCTGGGGTCAGTAGGGGGTGAGGCAGTCCCTCAGGTACATCAGCCACAGACCATGCAAGGCCTTAAAGGTTCTTCCTCTGTACATGAGGCAGGGCATAATGGATAAGCATACAGATGCGGAGTTGTCTGTTCTGCTCCGCAGTCACACAAGGTGTGGGATTGTTTTAAGTAGTGCCATTTTACCAGGTTGTCTTTTGATCTGCCCACTCCACTTCTGAGTCTGTTCAGGGACTTCCAGGTTGCCCATTCTTGGTTTGCCCCTGGAGGAAGACGCTCATGGGGGGCCATCCAGTTGGGATTTCCTGATTTAGCTGCCCAGATGGATATCCTTGCTGTATCTGGAGGGACGCCAAGAGGAATGGTAGTTCTCATAAAGCTTTTCCTTGATGTGAGTCTACTGGGAGGAGGCTGGTAGCCATGTAGTGGATGGCATTCACAGTGTTCAACCTTATTTCTCTCACATTTAGCAGCAACTTCCCATCGCACCTCAGGAGGGGCAATGCCAGCTAGTTTGTGGAGTTTATCAACAGGTGTAGGTTTAAGATATACTGTGATTATTCTGCATGTTTCATTCATTGCCATGTTCACCTGCTTTGCATGGGCAGACCGATGCCAAACAGGGCAAGCATACTCGACAGTTGAGTAAGACAAGGCTAGGGCTGATGTTCTTACTAATTTTGGGTCAGCACCCCATGTGCTGCCAGTAAGTTTCCACAGGATGCTTGGTGTTCAAGCAGTGTTTCCTATATGCTAGTGTTCAATCTAAGGTGACACAGAGATATTTAGGTTGGAAACAATGTTCAAGTTCTTGACCTTCCCAGGTGACTTTCAATTTCCTGTTGGCTTTGCGGTTGCGTAGGTGGAAAGCACACACGTGTGTCTTGGCAAATATTGCAAATATTGAAGGATGCTCTCAGTTTATCAAGGAAGTGAAAAGGTGGCAATGACTCCATACGTATTTCCAGTTTGTCCTTTCCGAAGCTCATGATGCATGAACTACTGAGCACATATGTCACTGGTATTCGTTTAAGCATACTGTATTTACTGGGTTGCTGTGAGTTTTCTGGGCTGTATAGTCCAGAAGCATTCTCTCCTGAAGTTTTCACCCACATCTATGGCAGGCATCCTCAGAGGTTGTGAAGTTTGTTGGAAACAAGGCAAGTGTGGTTTATATATCTGTGGAATGTCCAGGGTGGGAGAAAGTACTACATTTAGTGGGTTGTTGTAGGTTTTTTGGGCTATATGGCCATGTTCTAGAAGCCTTCTCTCCTGGCGTTTCGCCGGCATCTATGGCAGGCATCCTCAGAGGTTGTGAGGGACTACATTTAGTCGGAGATCCTCCAACATCACACAATTGTAAGACTGTGATTGTTTTAAACTGCCATGATACAATCCTGTGCAATCCCAGGATTTTTGTTTGGAGAGGAACTAGAGTTCTGTGACTGTGTTTGTGTCAACATTCTGTTCAGCTGTCAGCTTATGGCGAGCCCATGAATTTGATAAAATTTGCTTTAGTGGGGAATACTCAAGGTGGTTTTTTTGAGTTCTTTCCTCTGAAACACTGGTATATCCAACGGCACCTGGTATTCATTGGTGTTCCCACATCCAAGTACTAATCAGAGCTGACTTAGCTTCCAAGATCGGACAGGGCCTGGTCCTTTGCAATTCCCAGGATTCCATGTATGAAACCATGACATTGAATCACGCTGCTATACCTGAGCAGCATAAAAGAATTCCAGGTATTAATGGGTATAGGGCAACCTTTTGGGGTCCCACAGGGATCTGTATTGTCCCTCATGTTGTTTAACAGTTACATGAAGCTGCTGGGAGAGATCATCCAGAGTTTTGGGGTCAGATGTCATCTGTATGCAGATGATGTTCAGCTCTATCACTCCTTCCCACCAGTTACAAAGGAGGCTATGCAGGTCCTGAACTGGTGCTTGGCTGCTGTGCTGGCCTGAATGAGGATGAACAGATTGAAACTCAATCCAGACAAGACAGAGGTACTCCTAGTCAGTCGAAAGGCCAAACAGGGCATAGGGTTACAGCCTGTGTTAGATGGGGTTACTCTCCCCCTGAAGACGCAGGTTCGCAGTTTGGGAGTGAGCCTGGACTCATTGCTGAGCCTGGAACCCCAGGTATCGGCAGTGGCTGGAAGAGCTTTTGCACAATTAAAACTTGTGCGCCAGCTGTGCCCATTCCTTGGGAAGTCTGACTTGACTACGGTGGTCCACGCTCTGGTTACATCCCAAAAAGACTACTGCAACATTCTCTACATTGGGCTGCCTTTGAAGACTTCTCGGAAGCTTCAACTAGTTGGAAGCCAAGGTTGCTCACCAGAGTGGCGTACGGGGAGCATACTACTCCTTTGTTGTGCCAGCTCCACTGGCTACCGATCAGCTTCCGAGCACAATTCAAAGTGCTGGTTTTAACCTTTAAAGCCCTAAACAGTCCTGGCCCAGAGTACCTGTCCAAACATATCTTCTGTTACAAATCATCACGAAGCTTAGGATCATCAGAAGAGGCCCTGCTCTCAATCCCACCAATTTTGCAAACGCGTTTGGTGGGGACGAGAGACAGGGCCTTCTTGGCAGTGGCCCCCCATCTCTGGAACTCCCTCCCTAAGGACATCAGGCTGGCCACATCCCCCTATCCTTTAGAAGACAATTGAAGACTTGGCTTTGGGACCAGGCATTCAATTAGTGGACAGCGGCAATTGGAAAGAAAATTTAGGACATCTGCGACATTAGATTTACCCTGACTTGGTCTTGGTTTTAATTGGCATGTTTAATTTATTGTTTAATGAACTTGTTTAATGCATTTGTATAATGTGTTTTAATAATTTTTACTGTTTTAACTGTAATCTTTGTTGTTTATATGATGATAGCATCTCATGATGTGTGTGTGAGGCTGCCCTGAGTCCCCCTTTGGGGGGAGAAGGGCAAAGTAGAAATGCATTAAATAATTAAATAAATAAATTGATTCCCTTTCCATCAACGTTCTAGCCATTGCAACCACGAGGATCCATATCAGGGCTCTTCCAGACACACCCTATATCCCAGGATCTGAGCCCAGGTTTTCTGCATTAAACTGGATTATATGAGTTCCTACTACCAGAAAATCTAGGATAAACAAAAAACCTGGGATCAGATCCTGAGAAGGACATTAAATCAGCCAGGGAGGGGTTGGTTGACTGGTTTGTATTGATTATTAATGCATCGTTGCAGCAAGGGATTTTTCCATCTGGTTTGAAACAGGCTGTGGTTCGTCCACTCCTTAAAAAAGCTTCCCTTGACTCCACGGTGCTGAGTAACTACAGGCCAGTCTCCAACCTCCCTTTCTTGGGTAAGGTGCTGGAGCGGGTGGTCGCCTCGCAGCTCCAGAGCTTCCTAGACGATACCAACTACCTAGATCAGTCACAGTCTGGTTTCAGGCCTGGTCATGGCACCGAGACAGCCTTGGTCGCCTTGGTGGATGACCTCCGCAGAGAGCTGGACAGGGGGAGTGTGACCCTGCTGGTTCTCTTGGACATCTCAGCGGCTTTCGATACCATCGATCATGGTATCCTTCTGGGTCGTCTCTCCGGGATGGGCCTTGGGGGCACGGTTCTGTCGTGGCTCCGGTCCTTCCTGGAGGGACGAACCCAGATGGTGAAGCTGGGAGACGCCTGCTCGGACCCCTGGCCTTTGACCTGTGGGGTCCCGCAAGGCTCTATTCTGTCTCCCATGCTTTTAACATCTACATGAAACCGCTGGGAGAGGTCATCCGGGGTTTTGGAGTTGGGTGCCATCTCTATGCGGATGACACACAACTCTATTACTCCTTTCCACCTAATTCCAAGGAGGCTTCTCGGGTGCTGGACGAGTGCCTGGCCGCTGTGTCGATCTGGATGAGGAAGAGCAAGCTGAAGATCAATCCCGACAAGACAGAGGTCCTCCTGGTCGATCGTAAACCGGACCGGGGTATAGGGTGGCTACCTGTGCTGGATGG